ACTATTTGCCCAACCCCGCTGCATTCACTGCCCCGTACCCTTGAATAAGGGGTTTAAAAAAGTTCTTTTATCTCTCTCCTTCTCGAGCATTTTCTACCCCAACTTTCCCTTTCTTGTTTCATCCTTACCACCACCACTTCTGTTACTGGATTTAATGCCACCATTTCCCTGGGGGGGGTTCATTGTGACCACGGGGCATTCAGTTGAGGCTTTTCTTGCCTCTACCCCCTCCCTGTTTTTTAAAAACGGGACTCCCACCCATTTTGATCCCCGACTCATACTTCTCTTCATCGATCTTCATCTGCTCTCCCCCCCTGCACTAGACTTCACCTGGGTTTTTTACCAGACTTTCTGACAGCGATCATTTTTCCCCATCTTTTTATTCTCCTTCCATTCACCCCCTTTTCCCGTAGCCCCCCGCTGGCAATTTGATCGGGGAAATTTTGGATCTTTACTCACACCTCACTCTTTTTGTGAGGTTCTTTTTCATCCTCCATTGATGAGGGTCCCACACACTTCCGCATCAGTTTTTTTTCCGCAGCTTCTCATTCTATACCCCAAACCCAGGGAGGGATTCTCAGAAGTGCGTGCCTTTGGGGGTCCCTCTTGTGCTCGGCGTACGTTTAAACGTGCTGCATGGGCAGGGACCGGGACAATAGAAACCGCGAGAGACTTGTTGATTTTAAGCAGAAGGTGCGTCGCTCGCCGTTCATCCGTGAAGCTAAACGCACTTTGTTGGGAGACTATGTTTCCACCATCACCTCTGCTCTTCTAGAGTGCAGTCTGGAAAAAAGTGAGGAAATTGAGTGGTTTAAATACCTCCTGACCCGGTCCTTTTCTACGGTCACTGGTGTTGATTAGCAAACCCTCTCCTTTTTCCATTGAACTTGGGGCCACATCTGGTCCTATTTTTCCCCAGGCTCCATCTATCCCCCCCGTTTTTTTCCTCAAAGTCTGCCAAAAGTTGTACCCTTGGACTTTTCTTCTCTCGGAGAAGAACAGTATTATGGCCTTTTTCACTTCAAGAACTGGGGCAACCTCTCAGTTTTTCCATCATGGAGCTGGGGCCTGATGAAAATTCATATTTGTATGTTACAACATTTTCATCGGTCAGCCCCTTTTTCCTCTTTTCACCTCTTTAATCTTTATTTGGGGACAAGGAGTTCTTCCCCCGCTGTGGAAATCTCCATTTTTTCCCTTTCCGCAAACCGGGTATCAGGACTGTCCTCCCACTATCGCCCCCTCGCTCTTACAAGTGCATTTGCAAAGTGATGGAACGCCTCGTAAACGCGTTTTAAAAGTGGTATTTTGAGATCACAAGTTTCCTCCGCTAGTCAAAAGGCTTTCGTAAGGGCTTCTACCATAGCCCTTACTACACTTGGGTAACGTAGTTCGAATGCCTTTGCGAATAATCACTCATTATTGCCAATTTTTTTGATTTAGAAAGGGATATGACCAAATTTTGGGGGTATAAAATTTTGGCCCCGGCCCATTCCTTAGGCCCCCGAGGCAATCTACCTCCTTCCTTAAAAACTTTTTTAACTGACAGAATTTCCGTGTTCGAGTCATAATTTCTTTTCCCCGGCTTCGCCAAGCTGAAGGTTCCCCCGGGATGGGTTTAACACAACACTTTTTCTCCTTTCTATAAATGATTTGGGGTCTGTCTTTCCCCCCAATATTTGGGGGATCACTCTTTTGAGACTTCGCTATTGCTTGTGCGGCGCTGACGTCAAACCCTTTTTGCAGTTTCTCTCCAGCAGCGGTCGACCTGTTTCCACTTGGGCCACCACACTGGTTTAAATTTTCAATACCAAAACTCACCAAAAAAACTTTTACTAGACGCCTGTTACTCCCTCACCCTTTTTATCTCTATGGGTCCCGTATCCCCCAACGTGTACATCGGGTTTTAGGCCCTTTTTTGACCGCGGTTTAACCCGGAAACCTCACATTTCCCTCTGAAGGCAAATTTCACGCCGGCTAAAACCTTTTTTAAAACCTTGCTCATCTTTCCTGGGAGCTATCGTCCCAACTCTGCTTCGCCTACATTCAGCCCTCTTTTTTTGAAAACTCGATATGGTGACCAGATTTTTTCCCCGGGCCTCTCCTGCTCTCTTCTACCTTAACTCTATCCCACCAAAGGGTTACTTTGTGCCCTTTGGGCTTTTCGCTCTTCCCCTTGAGACCTCTATACGAAGCAAATGTTTTCCCTCCGTCTATCGCCGTGATGCCCATTTTCCTTGTTACTATTACCTCCCCCCGATCACACAAACCTTCCATTTAAGAAAAGGGGACCGATATTATAGAATTCTTATTGTTCGCCCCCCCTGTTTTGCTCCGTCCCTTTTTTTCTTCGCCTACATTCATCTTTTCTTCCCCTTTAGTTTCCACCCTTTTTTTTATGTTTTTTTAGGGGTCTCACTTTTTCCCCGCCCCCCCGGGAATTCCAGCTGTTCGGGCTGTTTTTTCTCCCTCCCTTGCTCGAAACTCAACTGCTACGTGGTTCCCCTCTCTTTTTCTTTATACTTCCACTCCCATTCTCATGCCACCCCTGTGTACAAAAATGGCCAAGTCTTCAGACGGGGTCGGGTTCGCAGCATGTTTCCGGGCAGCGTCGTACAGGGCATTTACTATCTCAGCGCATTTTTAAATGCTGAACGTATGCCATTCTTGAGCACTTATTCAATTTTCATCTTGCCGTTCATCATTTTTTAGTAGTCTCAGACTCCCTTATCTCACAGCTATACGAAAAATTTTAACTCCATCCCCAGTTTTCCCCACCAACTTTGGCTACGCCGTATCTCTACCCCAAAAATAAAAATATTGTTTTTTGTTGGGTCCCTGGGCATGTCGACGTCAGGGCAAGAAAAGGGAGCACGCTGCGCGGTCAGCAGTAAATGAACCTACCAATTTCCCCATCGAGGTGTTCCATTTCTGGCTATTTTGCTGCAATAGCTACCAAACCCTTCGCACCCGTTGGCAACAAAGTTGTCAACTCTGCTCGGAAAAACTTTTTCTATTAAAACCGAATAGGTTACTGGCCCTTTCTTGCTCGTGCCGAAGTTGGAGACCCCCTCTCCCGCCTTCCATTGGCCACACTCGTCTACTCATGGGTATCCATGGGAGAGGGACCCCGTTTTCCCCTCTGTAGCAGTGTCAAAGTTCCCGTATCGATTTGCCAATTCTGTTTGCTGCCCCCTTTCAACGAGCAGCGAATTTACCCCAACGTCGTCTCGTTCTATATCTCCTTTACCTTCCCTTTTTGTGATGGACCCCTTTAATCCCGACTCTCCATTGATTCTTGACAACGACCGATTTACCCACAAACTCGGTGATACTTTTCGCACTCCCCCAAAACCCCCTTTTTGGTTCAGTCTCTTTCTGCCCTTTTCCCCTTTTACCTCCCCTGCCCCCCTGTTTCCGAAACCTGTTTGCAATTTCCCCTCCCCTTTTTCCACCTATGCCCTCATTCCCTTCCCGCCCTGCACCTGTTAGTCCTTTTGGCTTAGGCTTCTTTTTTTATTATAATTTTTAATAATGTTGAAGTATGAAAGGTTGTACAACATTTCGGAATTTTATTGAGATAACGTTTCCTCCTGTCATTAGCTTCTGCAGACCAGTGCAAAGAAGAAACAGGAAAAAGAGTAGGATTTTTCAGGTAATCAGTCCCTCAGCCTGGAATAGATTCCAGGCTATGGGACTGATTACCACACTCTCTTTTTTCCAGGCCTTTTCTTTGTTTTGAACTGAAGAAGCCATTTGCCTGGCGAAACGTTTCCTCGGTAAAGACTCCCAAATGTTGCATAAGTGTCTCATTCTTCAACTTGTCAGTTTTCTAAACTATTTATCACATTCCACTGACCTACTGTTCTCCATCTCAAGAGTTTCCAGTGACCTTCCTCTGTCTCATCATATCCTAGATGTTCGTTCCCTGTCCATTAACAACTCTTCACACAGCACTAACCCCCTGATCATGGCTGCAATGTCTTCACACAGTACTAACCCTGATCATGGCTGCAATGTCTTCACACAGCACTAACCTCTGATCATGGCTGCAATGTCTTCACACAGTACTAACCTCTGATCATGGCTGCAATGTCTTCACACAGCACTAACCTCTGATCATGGCTGCAATGTCTTCACACATCACTAACCTCTGATCATGGCTGCAATGTCTTCACACAGCACTAACCTCTGATCATGGCTGCAATGTCTTCACACAGCACTAATCTCTGATCATGGCGCAATGTCTTCACACAGCACTAACCTCTATCATGGCTGCAATGTCTTCACACAGCACTAAACCTCTGATCATTGGCTGCAATGTCTTCACACAGCACTAACCTCTGATCTGGCTGCAAGTCTTCACACAGTACTAACCTCTGATCAAGGGTGCAATGTTCTCACACCAGCACTAAACCCCTGATCATGGCTGCAATGTCTTCAAAACCCGTACTAACCTCTGATCATGGCTGCAATGTCTTTCAACAGCACTAACCCTTTATCATGGCTGCAATGTCTCAACACAGTACTAACCTCTGATCATGGGTGCAATGTCCTTCCCCACAGTACTAACCTCTGATCATGGTTGCAATGTCTTCACACAGTACTAACCTCTGATCATGGCTGCAATGTCTTCACACAGCACTAACCTCTGATCATGGCTGCAATGTCTTCACACAGTACTAACCTCTGATCATGGCTGCAATGTCTTCACACAGTACTAACCTCTGATCATGGTTGCAATGTCTTCACACAGTACTAACCTCTGATCATGGCTGCAATGTCTTCACACAGCACTAACCTCTGATCATACCTGGAGTTTACCTGGAGAGAGTTCCGGGGGTCAACGCCCCCGCGGCCCGGTCTGAGACCAGGCCTCCTGGTGGATCAGAGCATGGCTGCAATGTTTTCATACAGTACTAACCTCTGATCATGGCTGCAATGTCTTCACACAGTACTAACCTCTGATCATGGCTGCAATGTCTTCACACAGCACTAACCTCTGATCATGGCTGCAATGTCTTCCGGATGATCGAAGTAGTTAGTATCGATGAGTGGTGCGTCCAGGGGGTTGGCAGAGTTGAGGGTGACGGAGCCTCTGCTCTTGGGTCTGGTCACAAAAGGACCTATGGAGAACCCCTCCCGACCTCCTAGACCATGGAAGTATTGTTGGTAAAGCTGGAAAGGAATTATGGAGAGATGGGGAGAGAATAAATTAGGTTTGTTGGCTAAGAAGATAATGGAGTTCTAAAAGAACAAATTATGTTCGACGGAGGAAGTTGAATAACAGGAAATGAATTTATATCCGCTGTGGAGAGGGAATAGACAAAAGAACTAAGGAATGGAAAAATAAATTATTTATTCAGAAAGGTTCGCCAGTTTATCACACTTATAATCGAAATAAAGAATAATTTTACGATTTTTTGGACTATTTCCTGCTTCCTATTAAAATTAAAACATTTTAAAGTCAAAATACTTAATGTCATATAATTCATGAAATTTTTCTCATGACTTAAAAAAAATATATCAAGTATGATGATTTAGGGATGTGTTATCAGGTAAGAGGTTGCCTGATTTTCTTTTAATTTTTGCTTCAATTTTTCAATTTATTTCCCCTCAAGGAAGGTTCCTTGATGTTGGTGAGGGGCTCTTGATTTAGGGAATTGGATCTGTGCTCCAGTTCCCCGAATTAAGCCTGAATGCCTTCCACATCCCCCCCCCTCAGGCGCTGTATAATCCTCCGGGTTTAGCGCTTCCTCCTTGATTATAATAATAATAATAATTTCAATTTATTTGGCTCATAACTCGAGAACGCCTCATCTAATTGCCTTCAAATGTACAACAGTCCCGGTGGCCTGGTGGCTAAAGCTCCCGCTTCACACACGGAGGGCCCGGGTTCGATTCCCGGCGGATGGAAACATTTCGACCGTTTCCTTACACCTGTTGTCCTGTTCACCTAGCAGCAAATAGGTACCTGGGTGTTAGTCGACTGGTGTGGGTCGCATCCTGGGGGACAAGATTAAGGACCCCAATGGAAATAAGTTAGACAGTCCTCGATGACGCACTGACTTTCTTGGGTTATCCTGGGTGGCTAACCCTCCGGGGTTAAAAAACCGAACGAAATCTTAAACTTATCTTACGGTAACGGGGACCAAATTCTTGTAATAAACCCGGCATGTTTACTTTATGATCAAACTGGTTGAACCAAATCCCAGAATCCTGAAGTGACTTGAATAACTTCAAAATCCTCTGTGATGGAGCTTCTAACTTTCGAAAATGATGCTCAAAAAACTCGACGAGGGTGGAGAGTAAATAAAATTCAACGATGTGTCTCGTAGCCTGGTTGGTAGAGCACTCATTTCACATATTGAGTTTAATGGTTCGAGACCCGGTAAGAGTGAAAGTTTTAAGCATGTTTACCAAAGGTACCTGCCGTCCGTGTTCACTTTTTTAAAAATTCAAATTCAAAGTTTATTCTCTATAAGGATTAAACCATGTTGAGTTTACAGAAATTTGTTATTGTTTGGTTTACATGTAGTAAAATAGTGATTACAGAGTGTACCACTAGAACGCTTTAGCATGGCTAGGCATTTCGGGCAGACTTAGTTTTAATTCTTAATTGTAAAATATTACAAAATGAGGTAAGTTGGAAATTAGGGCTAAGTGACTAAATACTAGTTTGTGAGTTAGCAAGTGAATTTCTTTGTTTTGGCACAGTATATGTTTCATTTATTGGGTATCACAGGATTCATTATTTTAAGACTGAGATTAATATTTCTGTTTATGGCAAATGACTTTTCAGTAAAACACGTACCTGGGTGTTAACTGTCTGGTGTGGGTCGCATCCTGGGGACAAAACTAACCCTAATTTGCCCGAAATACTCTGCATAACCAGTGGCTTTTATACAGTATGTCAGTAATGTCAGCTAGCCCAGTAAACCATGTACATGTACTTGTAGAAATAAAGATGCAGTGTGTAACGACGATGAAAAACCCGTAAGTTTAGCCCTGATTTGGTGTAGTTTTCAAATTTTACAACATTGTTATTATTATAATAAAGGGGAAGCGCTAAACCCGGAAAGGATTATACAGCGCCTGGGGGGGGATGTGGAAGGCAGTCAGGCTTAATTCGGGAACTGGAGCACAGATCCAATTCCCTAATCAAGAGCCCCTCACCAACATCAAGGAAAACCCTTTCCCTTTAGGGGTCAAATTTTACAACAATAAGTAAAAACTTTGAATTGTTCGAATCAGATCATTTACTGGAGAATGCTGTTCCGATCGGGTTCAACCTTTTCACCAAAGTACGTATTGTCTAAAAAACAATTCGTTACTCATTGCGAGTTAGTAAATTTCAAATTGGCCAGTTTTATTGAGTAAATTATTTCAAATGTTATTTCTAGAGAATGCCTCTTCTGAATGTCTTCAAACCTTAAACACTGGTGAATCATATCTGGAAGTAATATTTTTGGGATAAATTTTTTGGGGTGTGTGGGTGCCAACCTGCTTATTTCTTAGCCATTTACATAACATTGTATCTTGGGTAAATTCAAGGGAGTATTTACATGCTTGGGTGTCCATCAACAATGATATATAAACTATTCCTAAATTTTGTTCCCGTATGATGGGTGGACACAGACCCGTTGAAACACCATCAAATTTAACACTGGTGGGGCACTCCTTAGGTTGGTATTTTGAATGGAGTGTGTAAAGGTTTTAGTTTGGTTATTTTTTGTTAGTTTAGGTTAAAGCTTTATTTTGTCTTGATGCTGGTGAGGGCTCTGATGTCCCGTAGCTCTATTGCTAGCTCACTCAGCTCGCACACTGAGGTCCGGGGGGCGATCCCCGGTAAGGTTGGAAACATTAGGAAAGTGTTTCCTAAAGGCACTTTACGTCTATGCTCACTATCAGTAAAATAGGTACCCGAGGTTAACGCTGTTGTGGGGCGCATCCTGGGACAAAATTACCTAATTTGCCTGAAATGCATAACAAAGGGCCCTTTTATATGTAATATATCATGACGTCAGCT